CTAAGAAATAAAAACATTCCTGGTGTGTTGATTAGCTTCTAAGACAAGAAATACATTTGGTAGAATACGAATATAGGTTTTTTGCCGTGTGCTTTTATTATGCCCTTAGATATTGGTATATACACATGGTGAGGGGGGGGGGGAGGGAATAAGACAAAGGATTAAAAGTTGCTTAAATTGGAGATACGTAACACATTCAGGTTTTGTTAACAGTGCGCATGCCCTTTATTTCTGACTATATTCTCTCTCATCCTAGAGAAGCTCTTCCATGAAGCCACTTGAGGATCTCAAGGGATAAAGGGAGTGAAGTCTTAAAGCTTCTATTAAAAAACCCGAAGAAACATCTGAATTATTTCAGAGTGGCAAAAAGAGATGGGAACCTGGACTTTCAAAGACCATCTGTGAACTTGGAACCCAGGACCGAGCAGTTCTGAAAAGGAGCCCAAGACGGCCCCAAACTACCTGTTAGAAACCCTCCTAAGATCCCTTCCATCAGCGTTCCAGCGAAGTGAAATTTCTCATCCCACCCTCCTAACTGGCTTTTCTGGTCCAATCACTTTCTGATTCCCTTTGAAAAGGCAAGGAAGCCCAGCGGATGGACCGGAGGCTGTGAAGCTCCAGCCCTTTGGGGAGATGACTCAACGGTCCCCATTTGCATACTAAGGCTGGACAGCTCCTAGGCCTTATCTTCTGTGGTTATAAAGGAACGCTTTCAGAATCCCTTTCTGATACTTTTATCAGGCCAACCCCGGAGACGCCTTCCCACAGCTCTGCCAATCTCCAGCGGGCACAAGATACACCGGGCAAAAAGAATAGAGGTATTTTGTTCTCTTTCCTGGGCATTTATTGTGTGGCCCTGCTGTTGGTGCCCGAAACAAGTTTATAATTGCTATATACCTGGAGCGAAACGTGTCTTAATTGTAGTGTATGAGTGTATGGCTTCAGGATACAGGATATATATATATATATTGTGACGAGCCGAAGGACAGAGAATGGAAGTGTGACCTTCTTCCCATATTTGGGCATACCAGGGGTTGTGACTTTAAATATATACCTACATACATACATACATACATACATACATACATACATACATACATACATA